ACTTAGGTTGCTCAGCAGAGCCAAGCACACATTTCTCTGCCTGTGAGTGGTATTTCCTGCCCTGCCTAGTCAGCTGGGGATTGGCCCTTTAGCTCATCACGGGGGACAATTATCCTGTCTGCTGTAGAAACCTGTGGTAAGGCAACAGGTCCCCTGTGGCTACCTACCAACCACTCTCTGCATAGACAAAGATGCCTAGAGCAGCTTATGCCAAGAACAGGCCCTATTCCCTCACATGATGCAACTCTGACCTGGTCTTATCCAACACCACAGCAGTATTTGTGGGTCCAATGCTCTCCTAAGAAACTTCCCTAGCTGTTTTCTGATTTATTGCTCCTGTCCTTCTTCCCCAGGAAAATCCCTGTAGGGGCGTGAGGGTGAGTAAACCAAACTGATAGCATAGCAGTCTGTGTCCCTCCAGGGTTCACTGGTCTCCAGGGTATGGACCCCCTCTTGCTCCATGTCTGTGGCACACTGTCTAGTGAGGATCCCTACTCTCTCTCTCTGGCACAACACTATTTTCTCCATGTCCAGAGAAGCACAGGCTTGGCTGCATCCTTTCTCAGCATTGTTTCAGTACAGGTACAATTCTGGGCTTTCTCATTTCTCAAGCCTTCAAACAAACTCTCATTGCCTTCCTTCTGCCAACTCTTTTACAATCAGCCCTAAAATGCTACTCACGTTTTGATTACAGACTTCACCATTTCATTCCTTCAGCTGGAAGCCTCATTCCATCCATTATCTCTGTCAAGCCCCCCGTGCTGTCCTAGCTGGCAGGCTCTATTTTGGAGCAAGACTTGCAACACATACAAAATGCCATGTTACAGCTGAGCCATGCAGCAATTTATCTGGGGTCTTTAAAGTCTGATTTTTCAAGGGTCCAAAATTATATCACCTCTAAATTGCTCAATACATTATCCTTTCACCTCTGTCACCATGAGCTGAGTGTAAATGTAGCCCAAGAAGGGGAAAACCCAATCAAATAAATAAATCCTTCATTACATTCACACAATTATTATAGTGTGGTTTTGATTCTTTCAATGAATCCCACAAGAATCTGGCCAGCATGAGGCAAAAAGGGCTGATACACCACCAGCCTGTCACATCAGCACTGCAAAATCATTTGCCATCCCACCGGGGCAGGTCGGGAAAGGGTAAGTATGTTCTTAGTATCAGTGTTTATGAAAAAAAAAATCCCCTCCTTTCTCATCTTGCTCCCCTCTTTCTTCCCCTTCTCTTCCTTTGGAGGATTTGTATTTCCTTTGCTGTTTGCTTTGTAGTCATAATCCTTAAAAGAATGCACTGCAGTGGCAGTGATATGGGTACCATATATTCCCCCTCACTTTCTATTGTATTCCATTTCTCTGTTTTGAGAGCATAAATAGCTTTATAGGACCATTATTTTTCAGCCTTCCCTAGGCTTGTTTTTGCAGCCATAGTTCACCTCCCCAGGGAGGACAACTGAGCTGGGCTGTTCCTAGCTGCAGGTCTCTGTGGCAAGCAGTCCCAAGCCAGCTGACTCACCCGCACATCCGATGAGCAGCTTCCCCTCCTGGTCCTCCCCCAGCATCGCTGTGTTCCCATCCCTGGCAGTACTCCAGGGAACACACTGCCTGCTCTGCAGCCACAGCCTGCCTTTGCCTCCATGTCGCCACCATAGAAGGGCATAACTTTTTGTATTGAGTTTTTTTTTTAACCCTCTAATTTAAATTTTTAAGCTGTATGCTTGTCAAGCAAACCTCAGGAAATACCACCCCAAATGACACAAGCAGAAAGACAAAGGTTTACATATGTTTGTTTCCTCAAAACACTTATTCTAGGCCTATCTGTGATGTTTATGAGCTAGAATTATGGGTGGGTTTTTTTTAAATGAAGAGTCTCAATAATAGGACTTTCATCCGTCTTGGAAAAGTCATAACAATATAATAAAGAGAGCATGGCATGATCCAAGTCCCACATGGCTTTTTATCAGGACTTAGATTTGTTACAGCTCTTTGTCAGAGTTGCATCAGTGTCCTCTGGCTCCACCCCCATCTCAGCATTACTGGGGACAACCTCCTGAATGTAGGACATTAAGGGCACATGGAAATGTCAGGTTGAAACCTTAGGCTTACCTGTCCCAAAGCATACCTTTAAACATCGTTTCTTTGTGAGATTTTTCAATTCTGTGCCAATCTCACAAACTGATTTTTTTCAGGAAACTATATTGTCATGGTTAATGACAAGCACCTGTGAAAGTTCTTCTCAAAAAGAAGCTACTACTTAGACTTTGGGTTCAACAGTGTTAACCTGATCATCGTACTGTGCAGCAAGTGAGGTTGCTGCCTGCTCTATCCTGCTTCATATGAAAAATAGAAAAGATTATAGTTATTTCCAGAACATACCAATGGAGATGCTGGGGGAGAGGGCACCAAATCTAGAGTGAGAGTGAACAAACAAAAATGCAGCCTTGTCCCACAGATGGAGATGTTTGGGCAAGCACATGCTTTAGAATAAGGGTAATTTTTACTCTCTGGGGGTCCCAAGCTCTTTTGACTTCTTAGTTCCATAATACAGGCACAAGGAAAAATTAAACTCAAGTTAACATTTAAGGGAATGCAAAACCCCTTCCTGGATTTTATTGTGGGCAGAAACTACATACTTGATAGCAGAGTAAGCAGGACATTTTTGCAAGACTAAAGAAGTAAGGCTCATCCTTTAGTATCTGAGATGATGTATTATGACAAGTTGGTTTAAAACATCCATAATAAATAACCTGCTGCATCTAAGAATAGTATTCATAGATCAGCTCTGACAAGTGTAGTGCCCTCCTGGTGCCCCTGGCCTGGGTGGGATTTGCAATCTGAATACAGGTAAGATTTACCTCCTCAACTTTCCTTTAAAATGCAATAAATAGTTCATTATTAGCTACATCCACCTCTTTTTTCATCTTAAGTGTTCTTTTGACCATCTCTTGCCTTCTGTTTTTAAGGTTTTCTCTTCACAGCCTCCTCCAGCCAATAAACATTTACACTCAACCAAGTGCAAACACGCACCATGCATCATCAGGCAACCCCACTGGCACCAGACTGTTCAATTGCCTTGCATGGGCTTTCAACACCCTTAGTCCCTACTCCTTCTCCCATCTAACACACATGCTTAGCAGGTCTACGCTATAGGCTGGCCTCAAGGTGCAGAGATTCCTCCTCTTCCTCCTCTACATTTACATGCCTTAGAGGAGACTTTGGTGGTCCAGCTTCAAGTTGGTTTAAACTAGCTTTGCTGCATGACTTTAGAGATGCCAAATCAGAGGCAGGCAATCTGCTCTCTTGCCTTCCCACTGAGTCTCCATCTGTTCCCAGGTCTCTACTAAAGGCTCTCCTTTAAAAGGCACCACTCTTTTAAAAGCCAGTCTCTATTTTCTGCTCTGATTCACCATGAACTGTGTCCACTGTCCTAGACAGAATTTGGTGAGCAATGTGTTGGGCAGTTCTTGTGCCTCACACACAGAGGTCCTAATCAGTGGACATTAAACTACCTCACAGACACAACCTACAATCCCATCTATGCCAAAACAGACCCAAAGTCAACCACAAGCACAACAGCTAACATCTCCATGTGCTGCTTGCAAAGAATGCTGCCAGCACAGTTTGCTTTTGCTCCCCCTCTTAACAGGGCAGTTAGCACTGATATTTACAAATGGAATATTTTTCTAATAATATTGATGAATTAAAACCAAATACTCCATGCTAGTCTATAAAAAAATAGGTGACATGTAGTGATAACTCTTATTCACTTAGTGCAGCTGAATAATCTAAATCCAACAAAACGCACAAGGAAAACAGCACAAATCCTGATGGTGAATGCCCCTCCTAGGGAGCAACACTGCCCCAGGGACTGACTTCAGCAGGGTCCTCAAAGTGTCTTATTTCCTTCACATATATATTCTCAGCATTTGTGCTCAGACACCAGTCCATGTGATTCATCAAGTCCTAACCCTGCTGGAGTGCCCAGCAGAATTCCTCAGAATCAGCCACACTTGGCTAAGATAATGAGCCTTCTGGAAAGGCACTAAACAACACACTAAGCCAGCCCCTCAGCCTACCATACAGTAACTCTAGACCTTAACTTTGCTTCTGTAGTCTGGGCACACATGTGAGAGTTGCCTGGGATTCAGAAAATGAGTGTAGAAGATACCTTTCAATTGGTGGCTTTACATTTAAAGGTTTAGATTATTCTTACTTGTCTCTGGCAGTTATACATAAATCTGAATAATAGAAATTATAAGAAACAAACAGTATTTTCACTATAAAGCTGATTTCAAAGAGTTAGCTTGTCATATTGCATTTTACAGAGGTATCCAAATGTTCTTTAAACTATCTGTATACTTTCAAGAAGAAAAAAAGATTTCAGTATCGAGAAGCTCTCTGCAATTATTTGAACTATCCAAATTATCTGTTTTGGTTTCTTTTCATCAACTGCTAAAAATCAATTTAACGTACAACAGGAAGCTTTAATTGTATTTACTTCTGGCCAAAAGATGTTTGTTTCTGACTAAGTTTTTACTGGATAAGAGAAATTAATTGTAGGGTCTGCTCAGAGTTCTAACTACATCATGATGCTTATTAATTTTTCTGTAGCAGCAATCCTACAAGAGGCTGTGTAAATAAGGCTTGCCTCTCTGACCACCAGCAAAGATATAATCTTTATACCTCAAAGGACATTGCTTCCACCAGCTCAGGCAAAGGAGGCTGCATTAGGCTTTTAACCTTTGTATGGGACAAAAGAGTAGCTGTAGGAAGACACAAAAGGGAAGTAATCACTACTGCAACTGTTTATCTAGGATATTATGATCAATTACAACCAAGCTCTTTGTTCAGGCTGATTATCAAACTCAATGACTCATTTTGCCTTGTGACATAAAGCATGTGCACTTTTGAGATGTGAGGTAGGAATACTGCTTACCTTGTTGAACTGGTGAATAGGCGTTGGTCAGAAAACGAAAGTGCCCTTTATTGTACCAGCAGATCAAGGACATGTTTCCCTTCATTCTTATTCTGTACTGTCCTCTGGACTGTGGAGTTTCAGAATTGTTCAGCATGGATGGAGGTAGGCCTGTGCAGTCACTCTTCCTGGTGCTCAGCAACCCACAGCAGTAAATCTCTGCACGTGAACAAATGCACTGCCCGTCAGCAAACCATCACATGAACCCAGAGAGTAAAAGAAGCAGAGCAAGTCTGAATGACCTGAGTAGAGAAAGAACTTGCCCTACAAGTCCAACAGATATGTCAGCCAACTGGTTTTCTTCTGTAATATCAAAAGATTTGTGTCCTACACAAATGTCTCTGGAAACTGAGACAAGTGCAGAAAGCCTGCTCTCTTGATAGAACTGTACTGGCACCTCCTGCACAGTCATGATGAAACAACAAGAAAAATAATTCAGACTATTTTCCTAGCAATAGCATCTACAATCTGTGTAATAGTCTTCACATGTTTAAAATTGGTCTGAAAAAAACTCCAATGGTGATATGCAGTATGGAATAAACCAGAATTTATGACCCAAGAAAGTCTTTGATGTTTAACTAAGAATATATTATGGAGTGAGCAGGGAGGTAGGGGAAGCTATAGCATCTTAGATATTAACTGAAATAAATTCTCCTACATGACTTCCATGATGCTTTTAATCACAATATACAATAGGTGACAAACTCTGGTTTAATCTACTGCTTCACTGTGCTGCCAGGTTCTTGATTTCCTGGTTTGCTAAGGAAAAGCTGCTTAAGCAGTTAAGAACCACTGAAACCACCAGCTGATTTTAAAAACTCATATGCTAGAAGGATGGAGAAGATGGAAATACAAGTTCAGTAAAAACTGATTTGAGGGAAAAGAGCTAAACCACACAGTGTCCTAGCTGAGTGGGCACTGATCTTGTCCTGCATAGACATCAGAGGCTCCACAGGCAACAGAGTCTGCTGCTCACAGATATATTGTCCTTTTCCTATGTGAGAGACAATAAATAAAATCTAACACCACAAAACACATCTCAATGCAGCCAGGAGGGCACAAACAAGATTTGGAAACAACATTAATAACAACAGCTGAGTGGAAAAAAACAATGGGCCTGGAAACAGGTGACATCTGCACACATCTTTTGGTAGCTTAATGCTCATCTGTCAGCTAAGTCTGCTTGATCAAAATTTTTGTGCTGAATTTTGCATGATATCTTTACAGAGGAAATGCAAAGTCAGAATACAGTGTCTGGCTTTCCCTAAGCCTGCTACCTGTGTTCTTGGGTTTCCACTTATGTGGCTCTTCTGCCTCGGTCTTTCTGGAATGACCTAAGCTCTTGAGTGCCAGTGCAGCCTTTGTGCTTGGTTCATATAATGACTGACATGCTAAGAGTCCCCTCAACAGCTCATGGATACTACAGGAATACTACTAAAATAATTGCAAATACTCATTAATTGGTCCTGTTGTTGTGGGCAGATCTGCAAGGAGCTAAGGCTCTTCCATCAGAAATTTAAGCTACTGATGTCAGAAGAAGGTCAACCAAAACAGCAATGGGGAAACTTCATTCTGAAGGAGGAAACCTGCACTCCATCAGTTATTTCTAATTAATCAATCAGTCTCTGGAAATCCATAAATTCCTTATACAGAAGACAATGAGAAAAGCCTGATGACAACAGGCTTACAATCAATATAGAAGGAACTGTACCTCCAGAGGAAGACACTTAGTAAAAATTTTTTGTCTTGCTAAGAAGTACCCAAACAGCATAGGTCACGTACCCGCAAACTTTTAGAAAGCTTTCTTCTAGCCAACATTAAGATCTTCCCACTCTGATAACAAGCAAGCCTGAGAAGAATTTCACTGAAACATGATAGTCTCTCCAGGAGACTGCAATGGTATAAAACCAAGTAAATAACTACATTATTGTTCTAGAGCTTCAAAACAGCAATAGCCACCTCTGAGATCCCACAATAATTAATTGCAGCCTTGCCTTTTATTGTAGCAATAAGCCTGCAGAAAGCTTCTAGCAGATGTTTCACTCCTCATACAGAATAATGGGAACCATCTTCTCTCTCAGGAACACACCACACACACTTCCTGCTGTACAGTCTAGAAAAGTGCAGCACTTCTGCAGATTTACTAGCGTCTCTCATCGTGGATGACACCCTTAATCTGTAGAGTTTTTTAAAACCACCCAGTTACTATAGCAATAGAAGCAACAAAAATTATGCCCATCTGGCTCAATTAAGTTTTTGTGTGTAATTAAATCAGAATCATAACAGGTGTTTGTGTGGAGACAGGTTGTTCTCCTCTGGTCTCCCTAAACTGTATGTGCATATAAATGAATACACCCAAAATAGTTTAGCAAAGATGAGGAAATGTGGTGTAGTCACCTAAAACTCATCTCCAGAACCTCCAGGCCCCAGAGAGCTTGTGCTGAAGCCTATTTCACCACACCTTCTCTAGCACTGTTTGTGAAGGCTGTCAGGCTTGAGCCAATTCAGGCAAAAATACACATTCTGCAGTCATTTATTCTGCATGCAACACTGGGTCAAGTCAGAGCTAGGGCAGCTGGGGAGCCTGTTGTGGGGAAAAGAAGAGAGTTTGCTTTAGTCTATGAGCTGGAGCTGCACGATCCTACAAAGCTTGTGGGAGTGCCAGGCTGGCAGCTTTTGCACCTTTGCCAACCCCAGCCCCTCTGTCAGACACAGCCAGCTGCTCCTGCTGGTTCAGAATGTGCAAAAGGGACTTTTGGGGATCATGTGTTTAAGGGAAGCATGGGACACAGGGCTTTAGGAGGTTCTGTCCCCTCTAATGGACAACACTAATGCTTAGAGGGGGAGAAAGGGGAGTGCACTGTGAATGAATGTCACAGCAATAGCAGTGACAGCTGTCTGCTCGCAGAACAGAGAATCTGGGGCATTTCAGTGCAGGTTTCCAGTTCTATTCAGAAGCCAGAGAAAGAAATGCTTTGTATGTCCCTCCAAAAATAAAAAAGAGGTCTATTCAGGTTTTCGATTTTGAAAAAGATCAAAGTGTCCTGTCTTATTTTCTGAAGTTTTCTCAGTTCTTGGTATCTTCACAGATCTTAGAATTATGTTCACCGACATCCCTTTATATTACTAGGCACATTATTGTCTGCTGTGGTACAGGGAAGGTGCTGCACAGCAGACTCTAAACAAAGAACACTGTGTTTTTACCAGTAATGCATGTGTGGGCTAGGGTTAGCAAAAGCAAACAATAGTTAAGATTCCACAAAAGTCCTCATCGGATCACAGGATCCTATGGATTAAAGCATAATTTAGGTTGAAAAGCAACTCAGGAGGCCTCTAGTCCCATTCCCTGCCAGAGCAGGGTCAACTTTGAGGCTAGACAGTGATGGTCAGGGCTTTATCTTGTCTGGGCTTGAAAACCTCCAAGGACAGAGACTGCACCACCTGTCTTGGCATCCTGCTTCACTGCCCTCACGAAAAACCTTGCATCTAGTCTGAATATCTCTTGTTTCAGCCTACGTCTGTTGTTTTTCATCCTTTCACCAGGCACCACTGTGAAAAGCCAGCTCCACTCTCTCGACAAGCTCCTCAGGGTAGCCTAAGGCTGCTGCTGTGTCCCCCCCAACGCCTTCTCTTCTCGAATAAGCACAGCTCCCTCCCCACAGCAGAGCGTCTGCTCAGGCCGGTGGCCCAATGCTGAACTTACTCCAGCTTATCAGTGCCTTTCTGGTACTGGGGGACATGTTGTCCAAAACTGTGTGAAGGAGGAGGCAGTAATCATCTCCCTCGATCTATGGGCTACACTCTTGTTAACACAGCCTGGGACAGTGTTGACCAGCTTTGCTGCCAGGGCATGCTGCTGACTCATGTTCAGCTCACTGGCTACCAAGACCCCAGGTCCTTTTCATCAAGAATTTTGAGAGGAACTAATAACAGTTGTAGTGGGTGACTCCAGATTTTCCAGAATTCTTTTCTTTCTTTAAATGTCACTTTTATGTTCCCAGGAAGTTTATGGCTTCCAAGCATGAGCTTATTTAAATCTCCCCCTACTTCTCTGTTGACAGCCACCAAAAAAACCCACAAGACTCCCAAACAGCATAAAGCAATTAAGTTCAATGCCAATTTCTTTTTGCTTTCAGTTCTCAATGGGATCTTTCTATTGCTGATCCAGCTCTAGCCCAGAAACTAAATTTTCTTGAACAAAATAAGTAAATTCATCAGTTTGAGAATGGGTATTGAACTGTTCTGAGCACCTGAGCATAGATGCTTTTCAACAGGCTCTCAGGACACTGAGTGTGGTCCTGTTCAGATTTAGTTGGCTAAGCCACATACCAAAAAATCTCAACATTGACTTAATTGCTGAGGGTGACTCTGTGATAGATCAGGAGAGATGTCTCTGCCAAGTGCAGGCTGCTCTGCCTGCCTCTCCCCAAATGTCCTGCCAATGCAGTAGGATCCCAGCAGGTGCTGGTGATTGACTATCTGCTTCGCAGCAGAGTCAGTAAACATCATCTCCTCCAAGGCTCTTACTGATTTCACCATGGCTTGACATCTCAAACATCTCACCTCTCCCAGTGTCTCATAGCCCTGCCAGTTCAACATCCCTCTGCAAAACCTCTGAGCTAATCCCTAGTAACTCGTGACAAATGCAGACAATCCCATCACCTTGTTAAACAGATATGCTTTTCTCCCCATGATCTTATTTATATAGGAGTGCTATGCTATTTTGCAAAGCCAATAAACCTGCCATCTTAGTGTCCCACCCCCCACCCACCTCATAGCTTCAACCCTAGGAAGGTAATAATGTGTACCAGATCTGCAGCATAATTTTGAAGGCAGCTGTCAAAGATCATAAAGCCTCATGAAGCTACATAACAAATCATGAACCAAACTGAAATCTCAGTATTGCATTAGCATATTTGATCAGATAGTAAGTCAAAATTACATGCTTTAAAAAGACATTACCGAATTTGTTACCTGCTAGAAACCATTAATTTGAATGATCTGTGCAGTGTAAAGCCCATGAATAATTCAACCCTGTGAACAATTTGAATTATCTGCAGGTAATAAACACTCAGCTGGTTTAGTAGCCATGCATTTTTTTCACCAAGGTTATGGAAACTGGCTCGCACCAGATTGTCTTTATGCCTCCCTAGCAGGGCATAAAGGGTGCAACTCAGCAGTCAAGTTTTTATCTGTCAGTCTTTACATTTAAATCTTAATTTTTATTCTCAGGTGCTAGGAGTATGTGGGTTATCCTCCGTATTTTTTAAAACCCACATTTTGCATCACTGATTTGATAGTCTTAAAAAGCAATGTTTAGAATCAGCTGTGAAAAGCTATTTACTGAATATTGGTCTCTGCTCAGGGGAAAAACTCCAGAGCACTAGAAAGATGCTTTACTTCTTTCCCATTTGGCTGTCCACAGCATTTGGGAAGCCATGGCTCTTTTATGAGAATATGCAGGTATTCCACTGTACTCAGTGAGCTTACCTAAAATAATGCAGGAGCTAAGTCCTGCATGGAGCTCAGCTGAGACAGTCCTCAGTGTCAGCACAGTGTGTTCAACTACAGCACTGGTGCAGCTCACTGGTTTTCTCATTTTAAATGAGCATCAGCATACTGTCTCAATTCCCATGCTTTCCCCCTGCTTTGGGCCATGTTTCATTAATATAATAGTATATGTGGCATATTAATTTTCTGCAAAGCCAAAAGAAAAACTCAGACATCAGTGCTGTGTTGAAACAGCAAACAGCCTCATAGCTGTGATGCATAATGCCAACCTCCAACCTTACTGCGATGAAGGATCTATTCTACACATATCAACCGTGAAAGGTTCTGGCGATCAAAGAATGAGCTGAGAATTGCATGAGATGACTTATAACTGACTGGCAAGAGTGCAGGATTCTGTAATTTAAGAGGAGTCAAGTCTTCAGCATTTCTGAAAGCAAAGCAACACATGGCTTTTCCACGCCCAAGGCGAGGGGGCATTTGATAGAAAAGATAACCTGAGATGGCTCAAGAAACTTGCTGGGAGAGCCATATCAACAGACATTCTGCTGGCAAGTGTGATTTTCTAATGTAGAGTTTATTATGCTTCCAAAATTAAAAAACTGTCCTATCAAGCTATGCTGATGATTCTTGCTGATGCAAGAAAAGAAAAAAGCAAATTTTGCCAGGGCTTTTGCAACAGCATTAAGTGTCATTTAGAGAAGTCACATCTTTAACAGATATTAAACCAACAAACAGTTCTAAGGCACATCTCTAAGGATTCATCCCATTCCTAGTCTTTCAAACCAGGACCAGAAAAATCACAGGCACACAGGAAACCCCTTGAGAAGTCCCCCAGGCCATATAAGAGAATTGACCTCCCATTTCTAAGGCAAAGAACAAAAGCAAAGACTTTAAATAACCTTATTTAAAATTATTTTATATCCTCATTTTGAAGATTTAAAAAGCAACTTAGAAAGTCCTCTGTGTAGTAGCTATTCATGAATGAGAACTCTTCTTAGAGATTAACAACTTATCTATACAAGGAACTGAAATACCAGTGAAGACTTTTGGAGGATTTTTTAATCCAGTAGCAGGAAGCTCCTGGGTCTGTCACCATTAAAACCCAGTGAGTCACCTGATACATACCTTGCTTCTCAAATTCTTCGAAGAGATTCAGGCTGGTAATGCTTGGACCTGTGAAGATGATGTAGTTTTTCCCAGAGGCATTCTGACAAAGGCTTTTGGCCACCATACTGTGAAGCTGCGGTTTGTTCTTCAAAGCATCCAGCCCATCAGCACCACTCCCTTCTTTGAGATGGACATAAATCTTAAATGAGAAATGGTAAGAAAAGGTTATAAAGAAACTAGAGGGAGCAAATGCAATTCTTAGCATACCTGCACAGCTCAAGACAAGCTAAGAATCAAGGCAGCAGACACAGTTTATAAAATGCTAATTAAAATCCTTTTCAAGGGGCTGTTGCTTTAAAACCACCTCAGGTTAGCTGGCACAGCTACCAATAAATATAACATGCTTCACCTCATCTTAAGGACTTCCTGAGGCTCCTGTCACTGTTGTGCAGCTTGAAGATTGCTTGGTAGGAAAAGATTCCAGTCATATCTGAGATAACGTGTTGTACTGAATCTGCATAGACTTCAATGCTGCCAGCTAAAGGAGAGCATGGAAACCTCAGTTTCAAGAAAATCCAGTACAAGATGACCAGAAGGAAATGACCCATTTAACTTTCACTGCATTAATATTCAGATTTATTTCCTGTTGGCAGTAACCATTAGGCTGTGATGCAAGTGCATGTGCACCCCCATAAATGAGAGGAGCCAGCAAAACACATCCCCAACCAGCCAGAACATCCTCATCAAACTCTCCAGGCACAGTGCTAATTCTTAGATCCTTTGCTTAAATCATGATTTGGAGACAACTCACCAAAACATATTGAACTAGGGAGATGGGTACAGCACAATATGCTGTGGTTAAGAGGGAAACCCCTGGCTCACTTGCAGCGGGCTGCAGTAGCTTCAGAGCATATCCTGCTCTGAAGTCCATACCGCTACGCATTTCAGGAGAGCTGTCACCAACATCTGCAGGTGGACACATGTTCCTGTTAAGGGTGCAGGAACATTTATCCCTTAGTGATGCGATTAACCAAACACAGTCTCACCAACTGAAAGAACACTGAAGTCAAGCTATTGCTTCATTCCTACCAGTGACCCCTCCAGAATGGGAGTCTCCTGCGTTGCCATGCAGAGGGACACAAGCCTTTCATTTTATTTCACTGATGATATTTTAGAAGCATAACTTTCACCAAAGTTCAATGCCTAATAAAGCTAATGAGGCATCCAACCCTCACCTTGTTCTAAGAGCCAGCAGAAAGAAAATCTGCTGGAAAGAGAAATGAGAGGAAGCAGACATTGCTCAGTCACCCACACAGCACTGTAACACCACAGAACCTGCAAAGATTTAAAAACACACACAAATTCAAATTTTCTGAAAAATTTACCCAGCCCTGTCTCTGAGACTTTGGATCTGAAATACTCAAATCCTTCATCAATTCCAGAAAATTTTACCTGTCAGAGAAAAAGCTGAAACTTATTCAGTTTTTAGGGGCCTTTCTTCTGGAGCCATATATCCACAATTTAGTTAAGTTTGTTTGAGACTTCAACCATGCAAAACATACAGCACTGCTTTCCTGTACAGCATATTTCTCTTACCAACACACCTTGCTGCAAACGAAAGTTCATTGCAATGATCAGAGTACAAAAATACTCATGTTTGCAGAAGTGCTCCCAATAATCCATCTTAGAGAAGAACAAAATTCAATTAAACAGCTTCTCCCTATTTTAGATGGTATATCTCCCAGCACTGGTATTCTAGACATATTTTATGCAATAGTCCCTAGAAATTCATGCATCATGGAACAGACCTCAGAGTGTGCTGTGTATGAAATCTCTGACAAATGAGACAGAAATTGTGTTTTGAAGGAACTGACAGGCTAAAGAACAAAGTTGGTGCAAGGACAAACACACACTAATTCCAAAAGGAAGTAGAGCACATATTAAAAGGAAGTCTTAAATACACATTATTTATCTTTAAATAAAATTAAAATCCCTTTTTTGATTGAAACAGCTTCCAGCTGAGGACAAAGGCAGTGACATGTGTAGGCTTCCTGATCCTGCTCCACTTACTTTTGAAAGCTGTCAAATTTTTGCTTTCCTCAATTCTAAGGCTGTGGACTAGCTAATTATGACAAGTCATTTAGGTTATTAATCACAGCTCCAGAGAGCAGCTTAACAGTGGAATGCATTCAAAGGGCAGACTGTTCCAAATTTACAGCAAAGGTATTTCATGATTATTGGCAACGAAATTATGATTAGTTACTAGTATGCCAGCACAGAGACCACACATCAAACCCTTAAAACTACAGACATGGCAGTGGAGACAGAAGATGCAGACAGGTTAGTTTTGACCTTGAAATAGCAGCTGAGCTGAAAGCAAAGCAGGAATCTCCAAGCCTATACAAGTGTCCTACACCTTACCTCCCCCAGTCTGGTAAATCTTGGCTAATCAGGAGTCTCTCCTGCTCCATCCTCATTCTATGTTCCTTGTACCATCCCTCCAAGGGATGAGACAGTCATCTGGCACTGCTGGTGTGCCAACTGCTCCCTCACTGTGGGATGGTTTGTGTCTGCAAGCAGCTACTTTAAAGAACATTCCCACAATGCAAGGATCCACTGAGGTACCACTATTTTCATACTAGGATGCTACATACTCCATAGGTTTTGTTAGCAGAATTCTCTGTGCACCTGGCTGTCATTTTGCTCTGTTCACCTCCCCGGTGGCATTTACTCAAACATCCATATGCACTGCTGATGCTCCAGTGTTAAATACACCCCCTTTTCTTTTTCTCCTTGGGCACTCCGTTGCCTATCCAACAACAGCCTATGTTCTTGGCACAGTATTTCTTGTTTTGGAGAAACATAGTTCAAAGCTTTATCATGCCCAGCTCTATTGGGAAGATGGGTGACCACAGCACAATGCTGGAAGGCATAAAGGTGCTGTGAAACAGTGGCTAGGTACAGATAACTGGCAAAGGCATAGCTTCAAATATCTTTGAAAATGCCTAGGATCCCATATGGCCTTTGTTTTTCCTCTCCCTATCCTCTCATCCAGCCTATTTCATTCTGCCTCAAATCACGAAGATCCTGCCTACTGAAGCCCACAGCATTCCCTCCCTTTCTGTACTGCATTAGAGGGGGTATTTAAGAGTCAGCAGCCTGCAGAAAAAGCACAAATTGACAGAAATTGGCTGCAAGACCTTCACAGACACAGTCAGAAGCTGCTCCCAAAAATGTTTGTTAAACTCTTCACTAGACCTTCTGGTTTGCCCTGGGACAGCGTTAGAGCTTTGTGCCCTTTCCATGTGCACCAACAGCAAAATATCACCAGAAGTACAGGCTCGACAACTGTTGCTGGATAACAGACGGAGAAGCTGGCAGCACCACCCTCTGCTTCGGTGGGTGACAGTCAAAGCAATCCTTCTTGAATATCTGCAGAGATCTTGAATATCACTGTGTATCTTTTTCTAGTGGCTATTGATCCATTTGATCTATAGGGCTAAATGGGATAACTCCTATAGTTCTAGCATCATTTGACTTAGGAGGCAACTACAGGCTGAAGATTTTTAATCCAGGCAGAAATGGAGCTTTCCCTAGTCATCCCTCAATTATTTGTTTCTTATCAGAACAGTGACACAATCATCCATCTCTCTATCTATGGCAGCCCTACTACACCAGATACTTTCAATGCAACATGTTTTAATCCCAGTACGCAATACCAGCTCTCTCTTCTTACACTGCTTAACTCATCCCACAAACCCTCCTCTCTTCTGCCTTTGGTCTCCATGCAACATCCTAACAGCCTTCTCTCTTTAAAGACCTGACAATAGGAAAAAAAACCTTCATAGTCTCTGGTTCATCTTTTCTTCCACCTACAACTGCTTCTGCCTCTTCCCATCACAAATGCAAAAGCAGGTATCAGCCCAAACACCTGAGTGCCTGAGTGACAGGGTATGGATGAAGACTGTGCTGAGCTCTTCCAAGTCAAAAAAAAAAGAGAGCAAACTGTTCTGGAAAGACCATTTGCCTGTAGAGGCAATCAGAAAAGGCTTCACTTTCTGAGCTGGAGATTTCACATGACGACAGATGAGATGAAAGTCAATCACTTGTCACTCCAAGTATGTTTGGTTATAGAGGCAGACTGCTGAAGAGAGTGCTACCAGAGGAAGGATGGTCTCAGAGAAGACAAATTTCCTTGCGCTAGGAAACTGTGCTAGCAATTTACTCTATGGAAAATTCATGTGGAAGGTTCACATGGTCCCTCAGAAACTGAGTGAAAAACGAAACACTTAGGAACAAAAGCTGCATCTTGACTGCACATTTAAGAGAACAAGCCCTAGAAACTAAAATATTGGTGATTCTCCTCATATTCAAAGCTCAGATGGCATATTGAAAGCACTTGTGAATAGCACACCCCAAGTACTCCACCTTCATACATAATTGAAGCACGCCAGGGTACAATTCTCAAATGAAATAGGTGACATTTGGAAGAAAAAAAAAGGGCGGAGGTAGTAATAAACAGAATGAAGATTTTTGAAAGCTCCATTGTGGAAAAATATCCCACAAAGGGCAGATCCTAAACAACCACAAAACAGAAGCCATGTTTTCAGATGGTACAGTTATACAAGAAGGGACAAATAAAAGTAGTCATACTTCTTGGGTCTTAAATAGCTATCAAAAAATAACTTTTTCTTTAGACTTCACAGCCAAATACATACCTGCTCATTCCTAGCACTACCTTCTAGATTCTGCCTCACTCTTGTCTTTCCCTCTCATCCTAAACCTCATCTCTAACTGTTGCCATTACAAACGCTGTTGGGAGACTGTCACCTCCAGTCTCACCCTAAATCTGCTCCAGTTCATATTCCCCCCTTCTTTAACAATCTCTTCCCAGCCAGCTCTTAGGTCTAGCTCTGTCTCAGCAGCTGTTGGCACCACTGATGGTGTTCTTACCAAGACCAGATCTTTTCATTTATTTTAGCTCCTCTTCATTCTCTTCCTATTTCTAAATGCTACTTTCAAAATAGTATACAAGAGACACACAAGTTTTCCAGTCCATTCTCAGCTAGCTCTTGGTGTTCCTTACAGAGCTCTCTCCCTGGTCCCCTTCTTTTCTCCCTCTGCATCCTATTTTGAATTATTTCTATCCGCATTAACATGCAGATCCAGCTAACATCTTCGTGCCAAGGACTGACAAAT